AGGAAAACATATTCAAAGATTTTGTTTCAAGGGAAACTGTCTCAAGAGAGACAAAATTTGTTTCAATGGAAACTGTCTCTAGAGAGACAAAATTTGTTTCAAGGGAAACTGTCTCAAGAGAGACAAAATTTGTTTCAAGAGAAACTGTCTCAAGAGAGACAAAACTTTGTTTTGAGTAAATTAGTCTCAAGCGAGAGGAGGCTCTAATCGTTGACTTAAGGAAGTCAAATCTGTGGAAGACATGTTTGCTGTGACACTAAATCACTTCATCGGGCATGATATCCTTCTTCGTGAAGTTGAAATCGTGGATGGCCCCTTCGTTGTGAAGTTGAGCCTTGAATTGGATATCCTTCGTCTTGAAGTTGAAATCCAATGAATGTTGCTGGTGAGCACGATTCCCTTCATTGTGAAATTGAAATCTTGGATGGTCCCTTCGTTGTAAAATTGAACCTTGAATTGGATATCCTTCTTCGTGAAGTTGAAATCCAACGAATGTTGCTGGTGATCACGATTCCCTTCGTCGTGAAGTTGAAACTGTGGATGGCCCCTTCGTTGTGAAGTTGAGCCTTGACTTGAATATTCTTCGTCGTGAAGTTGAAATCCAAGTTTGTATTGTTTCGAGTCCAATATCCTTCGCCGTGAAGTTGAAATTGGCTCTGAATGAAACTGGGAATCCCCTTCGTCGTGAAGTTAAGTTTTGAATTAGATATCATTCGTCGTGAAGTTGAAATCCAATCTTGTGTAGATGGGCATGATATCCTTCGTCGTGAAGTTGAAATCGTGGATTTGTGGGCACGATATCCTCCGTTGTGGAGTTGAAATCGTGGATGGCCCATTATTCGTGAAGTTAAGCCTTGACTTGAATATCCTTCTTCATGAAATTGAAATCTAAGTATTGTATGTTGCCTTTAGTTGGATATCCTTCGTCGTGAATTTGAAATCCAATCTCGAGAAAGTTGGTTTTGAGTGGAGTTAAAATCTTTTTTCAAACAAATTGTGTCGCTTCGAGTTCAATATCTTTCGCTGTGAAGTTGAAATTAACTATGAACGATGCTCGGAAAGTTATTTTTTCGTCAGACAGTCGCCCCTTCGCTGTGAGGTCGAACAACCACCATCAACTTTTGAATGTGCTTTTGAATCGAGTATCTTTCGTTTTGAAGTTGAAACTTGACTCAAAAAGCTACAAAATATTATGTATGCTAAAATGATCAATGTGACTCTCTTAAGTATGTCTAAGATGCATGCAACATGAATTAATCTTGGACGGAGTCTTGTGCTTTGCTTGTCGATCTTGATCCTTGGAATCGATCATGCCCCATTTTCTTTCAGGATGTCGACAATTTCACAAGTTCTATCTGGTCTCTCGAACTGATTGTTTTCAAGAGCATTATTTGTTCTTTCTCTAATGGAAGCAAAATGAGCCTCAACAGCTTCCAAGACTTTTCACATTTGAGACAATCCTGTTTGAAAATATATTTCTCAATTCTCTTATTTTAGAAGGGAAGAAAAAAGATATAAAAATGTAATAATTTTGTAAAACGTTGCCCCTTAATCCAGGCTCGCAATCAAATCAAATCATAAACATGAGTTCAAAGAATATCAAAAGAATCAATAGCTCTTTATCATTCTCAGAGTTATTGCTCTTAGACAAATGTCCAAAAGTGATGAGTTGGTTTCAGGTTGGCTTCCTATTTTCTAAGGTTTTAGCCACCTAAATGTTGTTTCTTTCTCGTTCCTTTTGAATATCGCAAAATTCCCTTATTTATTGGTTTGACATTTTAATCGAATGCGGACAAAATGGCATAATTAACATAATCAATTACAAGACCCTCTATTTCGGTTCTCTAAAATCTTCCATTTGTTCAAGTTTTTTAAGCTCATCTAATAAAGGTAGTGCATAAATATTGGTCTAAAAATGAAACTCTTGAGTGCTCGTGTGAAATTGACTATAATAGGTGTTTCTTAACTCCCTTAGTTCATCATTACCAAAAATTTCTCGCTTTGATAAATTTGTCGTTATCTTGCTAGGTGAATCCATAAAGCCGGGGCTATTAACCAATTTCTTTAGAGGGACAACTTAACATTATAATCACTTTTATCAAGTTAACTGAAGGGTGCATCTTATCACAAAGTCTTCGGCCGGACAATAGTAGTGGAGCAAACACTGAATTGCCAAGTGTTCGAGCAATGTCATGGTATTTGAACGTAATCTATTCATAAAGCCAGGGATTTCAAGTTTCCTCTATAACCAATTGCCTTAGTGGAATAGCTCAGCTTTACGGATTTAATTTCTTAAGATTGTCAAGAAGAACCTGATATAGTCTAGGTGTTGTTGAAAGTCAAGGAATCTCATCTTTAGAGTTCAATTTCCCAAACAACTAACCTAAACTAGATTTGATTACTCGACTATTCCATCTGTGAAGATCATTATCATCACTGAACGTCTTAAATAAAAAGTATAATAATGTCATATGCAAAATATGCCTCATGTTGTCCGCACCTATGCACAGCTAAATGCCAAGCCTCTTGTTTATACCTTGATGAGAGGATAAGGCTATAGCGGTTCTTGTAAGGGAAATGTATGGTGTTCAGGCTTTTCGGGGCAAAGTCCTTGTTTTGTCACTTTGTCAAAGATCTGTAATTTTGAATCATTTATAGAGTTTTTTTAATTTAGCTGATATTGAAAGAATTTCAAGTTGTAAATTTGATTCAATGCTTAGCGTAAATTCATTGAAATATCCTCATAAAAAGAAATATGCCAACGTTCAAAAGCAGGTTTCAAAAAAAAATATGAGAAAGTTCAAAAAATAAAAAATAAAAAAAGCAAGTCCAAACAGGATGCTGCAAAATTGAATAAATCCTTATTATGATGCCCCATTAGCTGGATTAGGGCCTTCATCTACACTTGATCGCCATTTCTCGACCGTTTTATTTGTCGGGACTCCTTTTGATGTGCCTTCAGTCGCACACATTTCTGTTTCGGGAATGTCCTTACTTTCATCCTTTTTATGAGACATCTCTTGTAAATTAATGTAATTTAAAAAAAAATAAGAGAAAAGACAAGAAATAATTCGAAATATGCAAGAATGCATGATGCATGAAATATTCGAGGCATTGAGCCAAAAAATGTGTCTGTTATTATAAAGAATCCTTATTAGGGATAAAAGTGTTACATCTAAGGAGACAAAAACATTTTGATGGTATAGATCTCGGAGAACCTCTGACAGGTTGATTCATCTTACGCCTTTTCGCTGTCACCGGTTGAATGCTCTATCAAACCATTCCGACTTCTCTGGCTAAACTATGCAAGTGGTGAGCTGCTTGCTCCAAAAAGTCTCGAATGACTGCATATCCGAATTTCACTCTCTGCTGAGCCTAATCCTAATGACAACACCATTAGAGCCTTCTATCGATAAGAACTATCCGAAGTTTAGCCGTTTGTTTCTTGAATTTGTCAATAATTGCCTCCAGCTCAGCTAGGGTTTCACCATCTTGTTCTTGTTGTATTTGAAGGGACTCCCTAGGTCAGTAACATTTTTCTCGTCTTGCCCCTGCAACCTTTGCCAACTCAAAAAGTTGACTTTTGGTGTGGTCGGCGTGAATTCCGGTCCTTTCTGAGTTGGACTTTTGTGTTTTTTACTTATTGTATTATAACCCCTTTGTCCATTAATGCGGATTATTTACATTTAAGGAACACGTTTTTTGTGGATCAACACCTCTTTTGAATGATGCAAATGATGAAAATAAAATAAAAGAGAACAAAAATGAAAAGAGTTAGTGAGGTAAAAATAATTAAAACAATCATGAAAATAAAAGTCCTACCCCACATAATATCTACCCCACATGCTTATTATTCATACTCGGACACGATCTCTATCCCATAAGTTGATTTTGAACAAGTCATAACCCCATAAATTTCTAGTTCACATGCTTTGAACATAAAATAAAGTAGGAAATAAAGTAACCTAGGGTTTGAAATGAGGTTTTAGGGTGGGCTCTAATTTCCTGTAATCTCCCGATTTAGGTTCTAAAAAAGGTACTCGAGTTCTCCTTGCTGGTGCCCCATTGGGCTTGCCAGACCCTTAGTCCTAAGCCCATTACAAGCTTATGTAGACTAAGTTAAACTCGAGAGGAAACATTCCCTTATGTCCATACGGAGAATAAATTCACACGAAAGCATAAGGTATATGAATCCCGAAGGTTACTTGCTAAGCCCATACAAAGAATAAATTCCCACGAAGATATCGCTTTTACCCCACTTAAAAGGGTTTGGAGCTCGGGTATAGAGCCTGCGATGAAAATTTTGAAAAATCTGAAATCATTAAAAAACGTCAGTACAACTATTTATTTAAAAAATAATCGAAGGTAAATAATTAGAATCGAATAAATAAATTAAAATTTAAACTTGTAATTTTCGCTAAAAAAGACAACCAAAAATTAATTTCGGCCTGACACACTTACTTGACCCCAGCGGAGTCGCCAAGCTGTCAGAACCGTCTTTCGGGTGGGCCCGGAATTGGGCTTCGACTTGGATTAAATGAATTGGAAGTCTCCACCGATCACTTTAAAAAACATTTAGGTGGACAGTACACCATCTTACATGGTCTGCGTTTTACTATAAATATGTCGGGTTCGGGAGTCGATTACGGTCAAGGAAGGATTAACACCTTTGAACCGCCCGTTCGGTACCAATTAATTTGTCGGTTGTCTTAATTGCAAAAATTAAAATTAAAATTTAAAACATCGATTCAAAAAATTACCTATGATCGATTATAATTATTACTGAGATCAATTAAGATTAATTAATAAATAATGTGAATAAGGATAATTAATGAGAGTGTCTAAGTATCAAAACTAAGGTCAATTAAGATTAATTAATAAATAATGTGAGTTTAATAACAATAATTATCTAAATTTACAAAGAAATTAATCAATTAACAAAACACACCAAAAATTTCGATCTAATTACCAATAATTTATTAATCAAACATGGATTACTATCTCATTAAAACATTCAACACCCTAATTAGCCAAATTATAACCAATCAAAACAGAACAGGGCAAGTGCCTACCAGAGTGGACCCACACGTTGCACAGAAGCAAAGTGCCTGCATGGAAGCAACAACACACTGGACTCCTTCTCCCCACACTTTCTGCACTTCATTTTACAATCCTCGACCATCGCCTCCCATGATTTTTGTTGCGGCACCACCACCACGTTGCGCCACCCTTCATCGCAGCTTCCGCGGCTTGACTCCGCATCATCAACCAAATCTGCCACGCTTCCGTGGTTGGTGTTTCGTTCCTCGTCGACGTGAGCCAAGACTTGTTCTAAATCGGTGCGTAGAGAATTGGCCGTGGCTTCATTCGTCTGCGCCAAGTCCCACCGTAGTTGGTTCTCTAAACACAGGCTTTTAACCCTTTCTTGAAGAACCCAGTTCAGTTTCCCTATTTTTTGAATCTCCTCGTCTTTCTCCATCAGTTTCTTCACGACGCCGTCTTGGATCGCTTTAAACAACATTCCTGGTGTTTTTCCATCTCAAATGTTAGAAGGAACTTAGTCGGTTTGCCTCTTCACATGTTGTCGCTTCTTTGAATTAGTGAAATGGAAAAGGTAGAGGATTCGATGACTTTGAACCGGAACTGCTTCCTCCAGAAAGACCCGTGGACAGATATGGTTTTATAAAGCAGAGAGTAAATAACACTGGCACTAAAGAATTAGTTTACTATTTCTTCACGTGCAACTCTTCGCCTTTTCCTTGGAGCCGAGTCCGGGATATTCACGTTATACGTAAGGCCACTACTGGCTTTATTGTTTGAAGTTTAAATGCCTTTCCTCATTATGTTATCAGTCAATCACGTATATCTGCAAAACTGAAAACTGAATCTGGTTGTTAAACAAAATCAAATTCCAAAGAGATTACTGCAACTATTTAACACTGGATGAAGTGAAGAACAGAAATGAGTGAATGGAAACACTCAGAGAAAGAGAGATGAAAAAAGGGGGGAGAGCAAAGGGTTTTTTCCTTCGTCTAGATTCGAGGAGTGACCTTTTTGGATCTGTATTTTGATAGTCCTCCTCAAGAAGACAAAGTACAGATGTTGGTCCCTATTCACGTGGCCCCCAACATTATTTAAAGTCAAGGCCATATTCCCACTTTCCATTTTTTGAGAGAAAAGTAAGAAAACATACGTGCCAGGTGATGATAGTGGTTTAGTGGGTATGTAGTGTGGTTGAGATAATTGTGGGTAGTGGTGACATGATGGTGGGTCTACAAAAAAATATAATAATAATAATAATAATAATAATAATAAATAAAAAATAAAAAATAAAATGTTTTTGTAGACCTGAATAAAAATGGGTGTCTACAGCTGCCCTTCTTTGTATATTTTTATGTTAATAAGAATAGGACAAAGACGAAAAAAGAAAATCAGTTTTTGTCTGGTCCTCTCAAATGTGATTGGGCTTCCTGGAATTGAGCTTTGTTTTCTTCTCGGTTTAAAGATTTCGGCTTGAAAATTCTTCTAGAAAGTAGTTCCTCGCTGTCATCGAGCTGAAATCGAACTCGTCAGTTTTTGTTGACAGATAGCCCTTCTTGCCTTGAGTTATGCTGTAAATTTGATTTGCCTCTGAGTTGAATGTAATCGAACTCGAAGGTCTTTATTATTGCCTTGAGCTATGCTGCAAATGATGCGCCTTTGAGCTAAATGAAATTGAGCTCTAAGGTCTTTGGTAGATAACCCTTCTAACCTTGAGTTGTGCTGCAAATGATGTGCGCACAAAGCTGAGTGTAGTCGAACTCGAAGGTCTTTGTGTTTCAAGAGAAACATTTTCAAAGGTTTTTTTTTTGTGTTTCAAGAGAAACATTTTCAAAGGTTTTTTTGTGTTTCTAGACAAACTATTTCAAAGGTTTTTCGTGTTTCAAGAGAAACGATTTCAAAGGTTTTTTGTGTTTCAAGAGAAATTGTCTTCGGGGAGGCAAAATTTTGTTTCAAGAGAAACATATTCAAAGGTTGGTGTTTCAAGAGAAACTGTCTCAAGAGAGACAAAATTTGTTTCAAGAGAAACTGTCTCAAGAGAGAAAAAACTTAGTTCTAAAAGAAACTGTCTCAAGGGAGGTGAAATTTGTTTCAAGGAAAACATATTCAAAGATTTTGTTTCAAGGGAAACTGTCTCAAGAGAGACAAAATTTGTTTCAAGGGAAATTGTCTCAAGAGAGACAAAATTTGTGTCAAGGGAAACTGTCTCAAGAGAGACAAAATTTGTTTTGAGAGAATCTGTCTCAAGAGAGACAAAACTTTGTTTTGAGTAAATTAGTCGCAAGCGAGACGACCCCTTGTTTCGAGAGAAACAATCTCAAAGGCGATCGATAATCTGCTTGTTCATGCATGTTAAAGAATCACTTCATCGGGCACGATATCCTTCTTCGTGAAGTTGAAATCGTGGATGGCCCCTTTGTTGTGAATTTGAGCCTTGAATTGGATATCTTTCGTCGTGAAGTTGAAATCCAATGAATGTTGCTAGTGAGCACGATTCCCTTCGTCGTGAAATTGAAACTGTGGATGGCCCATTCATTGTGAAGTTGAACCTTGAATTGGATATCCTTCGTCATGAAGTTGAAATCCAATGAATGTTGCTGGTGAGCACGTTTCCCTTCGTCGTGAAGTTGAAACCGTGGATGGCCCCTTCGTTATGAAGTTGAGCTTTGAATTGAATATCCTTCGTCGTGAAGTTAAAATCCAAGCTTGTATTGTTTTGTGTCCAATATCCTTCGCCGTGAAGTTGAAATTGGCTCTGAATGAAACTGGGAAGCCCCTTCATCATGAAGTTGAGCTTTGAATTGGATATCATTCGTCGTGAAGTTGAAATCCAATCTTGTGTAGATGGGCATGATATCCTTCGCTGTTAAGTTGAAATCGTGGATCTGTGGGCACGATATCCTCCATTGTGGAGTTGAAATCGTGGATGGCCCCTTCGTCATGAAGTTGAGCCTTAACTTGAATATCCTTCATCGTGAAGTTGAAATCTAAGTATTGTATGTTGCCTTGAGTTGGATATCCTTTATCATGAAGTTGAGATTCAATCTCAAGAAAGTTGGTTTTGAGTGGAGTTGAAATCTTGTTTCAAACAAATTGTGTTGCTTTGAGTTCAATATCTTTCGCTATGAAGTTGAAATTGACTCTGAACGATACTCAGAAAGTTGTTTTGTCATCAGACAGTCACCCCTTCGCTGTGAGGTCGAGCAACCACCATCAGCTTTTGAATGTGTTTTTGAATCGAGTATCTTTCGTTTTGCAGTTGAAACTTGACTCAAAAAATTGTAAAATATTATGTACGCTAAAATGATCAATGTGATGCTCTTAAGTATGTCTAAGATGCATGCAACATGAATTAATCTTAGACAGAATCTTGTGCTTTGCCTGCCGATCTTGATCCTTGGAATCGATCATGCCCCATTTTCTTTTCAGGATGTCGACAATGTCACAAGTTCTATCTGGTCGCTCGAACTGATTGTTTTCAAGAGCATTGTTTGTTCTTTCTTTAATGGAGGCAAAATCAACCTCAACAGCTTCCAAGACTTTTCACATTTGAGACAGTCCTGTTTGAAAATGTTTTTTCTCCTTTATCTTATTTTAGAAGGGAAGAAAAAAGATATAAAAATGTAATAATTTTGTAAAACGTTGTCCCTTAATCCAGGTTCGCAATCAAATCAAATCAAATCATAAACATGAGTTTAAAGAATATCAAAAGAATCAATAGCTCTTTATCGCTCTCAGAGTTATAACTCTTTGACAAATGTCCAAAATTGATGAGTTGGTTTCAGGTTGACTTTATATTTTCTAAGGTTTTGGCCACCAAAATGTTGTTTCTTTCTCGTTCCTTTCGAATATCACAAAATGCCCCTATTTCTTGGCTTGACATTTTAATCAGATGCGGACAAAATGACGCAATTAGCATAATCAATTACTAGACCCTCTATTTCTCTTCTCTGAAATCTTCCATTTGTTCAAGTTTTGTAAGCTCCTCTAACAAAGGTAGTGCAGAAATATTGGTCAAAAAATGAAACTCTTGAGTGCTCGTGTGAAATTGACTATAACAGGTATTTCTTAACTCCCTTAGTCCATCATTACCGAAAAATTTCTCGCATTTAATTTGCCGTTATCTGGCTAGCTGAATCCATAAAGCCAGGGCGTTTAACCAATTGCTTTAGAGAGATAGCTTAACATTATAATAACTTTTATCAAGTTAACTAAAGGGTTCATCTCATCACAAAGTCTTCGACCGGACAATAGCAGTGGAGCAAACACCGAATTGCCAAGTGTTCGAGCAATGTCATGATTTGAACGTAATCTATTCATAAAGCCAAGGCTTTCAAGTTTCATCTATAACCAATTGCCTTAGTGGTATAGCTCAGCTTTATGGATTTAATTTCTTAAGATTGTCAAGAAGAACCTGTTATAGTCTAGGTGTTGTTGAAAGTCAAGGAATCTCATCTTTAGAGTTTAATTTCCCAGACAACTGACCTAAACTAGATTTGATTTCTCGACTATTCCATCTGTGAAGATCATTATCATCACTGAACGTCTTAAACAAAAAGTATAATAATGTCATATGCAAAATATGCCTCATGTTGTCCATACCTATGCACAACTAAATGCCAAGCCTCTTGTTTATACCTTGATGAGAGGAGAAGGTTATATCGGTTCTTATAAGGGAAATATATGGTGTTCGGGCTTTTCGGGGTAAAGTCCTTGTTTTGTCACTTTGTCAAAGATTTGTAATTCTGAATCAATTACAGAGTTTTTTTAATTCAGCTGATATTCAAAGAATTTCAAGTTGTAAATTTGATTTAATGCTTAGCGTAAATTCATTGAAATATCATCATAAAAAGAAATATGTCAAAGTTCAAAAGTAGGTTTCAAAAAGATATATGAGAAAGTTAAAAATAAAAATAAAAAAGCAAGTCCAAAAAGGATGCTGCAAAATTGAATAAATCCTCATTGGGATGCCCCATTAGCTGGATTAGGGCCTTCTTCTGCACTTGATCCCTATTTCTCGACCGTTTTATTTGTAGGGCTCCTTTTGATGTACCTTCAGACGCACAAATTTATGTTTCAGGAATTTCCTTACTTTCATTGTAACACCCCCAACCCGTATCCGACCCGGATACGAGTCCGAAGTGTCACATTGACTTTTCAAACATTTATTCGTATAAAATAGTGAGTAATTTAAAAACTTTGATAACATTTAACTTATTCAAAACGTTTACAAAACATATCAAAGTTCATACAATTTATATCTTTAGACTACATGCCAACTACACTCTATATACAGTACCTATATTTTCTGATCTGACATTTGGTAAGGAAAACTAACCTGTCTTGCTCCGCATTACTCTTTACTCTTCTCGAAACCTACGTGTGAAACAATCACACGCTAAGTCGAAGACTTAGTGAGGCATAACAACTTATAATGCACTTTATAACATATATCAATACATGCATGTTCTGTTCTATCATGT